GCCCTGCCTTCAGTGGCATCCGCTTGGCGAGGTTGTCGGGCTGATCCAGCGTGGAAGCACTTCTAGGCAGCAGAGCAGGTGAAGGCAGGGCCCGGGGCCAGGGATCAAGCCCTAAGGCACATCAGAGCAGGTTTGGAGAGGCCAAGACCTCCAGGAGCCAGATCCTGGGTCCCTCCCACCTTGGCGTGCACATCTCAGTCTATCAGAAACTTGTCACCATCCACGTCTCTCCCTGCAGAGCCCTTGCGCAGGGAGGGGAAAAAATCGGAGCGGAGGAGACGGGAGAAGTACATGAGGATCATGGCATCAAGCAGCAGGAGGTTGATAGCGAGGAAGGCACCCTGGCCCTGCACCTCCACGTAGCGGAGGAAGTACCAGGAGAGGTAAGCCTGAGGTGCCAGGCGGAAGGCGAAGTACACCACCAGGTTGACATACTTGTTGGCCTCGTAGAGCGCCGGGGAAGGCACGTTGCTCATCTTCAGCAGCATGCGGATGGTGAGAAAGATGTTGCTCACCTCCACCAGCAGCAGCAGCATCGCTGCCACGAGGAAACGGCCAGTGATGATGAGCGAGACGAAGGCAGAGATGGCCTGGGAGCATGTGGGGGGACACAGCAGGGTCAGCTCTCCTTGTCCTGGGGGAGGCGAGTCCTTCCCCACCAAGGTTCAGGTGTACACAGTGCTGCTCCCTGCCCAACCTCAGATCCCAGCAGCCCCCCAGGCACCTGAGCCAGGGTGGGGGAAAACCAGTCTGGAGAGCCAGTTGTCCTGGGACCAGTTACACCTCGCTGAGGAGCCGGGACAAGCCTCCAGCTCTTTCCTCACCCGGTGCAGCAGGCTGTCTGGCTCCTGGCGCTCAGAGCTGACACTAGGCGCCCTGCCCCGCCAGGTGCCCTTGCCTTGCTGATGCTTACCTGGCAGCCAGGGCGAGGCAGAGGGCACGGCTCCAAAACTTGCATGGGCCGAGCCCTGCGGTGTGTGGTAGCCCCCCCATGCTGGCCCTTCACCTCCCCAGGGCCACACTCACCATGGCGTGGTGCACCAGGTACTCCCATGACGAGCGAGACTGGTGGTTGAAGATGATGTCAAGGCTGTCGTGGATGAAGTAGCCTGCGGGATGAAGGAGAGCATTGAGGGGGTCCAGCTTGTGTACCTTCACCTGTTGCGGTAAGGAGGGGCAAGGTGGTGTGACCGTGCTCCAGGAACTGGAAATGCCACCACCTCGGCTGAGTGCAGGGAGACAGCCAGGCCCTGGAGGCTGGCAGCCTG